CGCCTATCTGTATTCACCGACAGTGTTGACAACAGGGTACATTATGCGTGCCATAAACCCAGAGATGTATCGAAATGTGTGCCTAAAGCGTCATTTTAGCGTGTTGTTTACTGTGGCAACTGAATGAAACAATTGTTATTAAAAGAAAAAGCCCGAGATACCAAATAGATCGTAAGTCGAACACATTCGACCACAAGTCGAACGGGTAGATATGAAGTCGAACGCCATTTATTCCCAGTCGCATGAATTACATAATTGTTAATAGGAACTGCTTTTCATGACATTAACATATTAAATAGACAAACTTCTGAAAAGATTTTTTTTTAATCTCGTCTTTTTCTTTTATAGATAGATTTTGATTCATACCAAACATTTTGACATGATTTTCATTAAATTTATTTTAATATCAAGGAAGATTGTGAAACGTTGTTGGTAATACTGGAAATAATTTTAAATTGAAGGAGGAAAGTAATACATGTAATGTAGCATTCAGTCAACATTATCAATGTGCGGCAAAATTTTTCATTGATCCTCCACCTTTTCTGTTGATTTTATCTTATTTCTCTCTGTATTCAGTTTTTTTTTCCAGTTTTATATGCTTTGTCTCTCTTTTTTTCATCCTCCGTTGAACATGTTTGAAGCCCAATTTGAAGTTATGGCAAAAAAGAAAAAAAACGTTTTGCTTTCTTTTCTTTTCTTTTTTTTTTGACATCGATCACTGTTTGTTATCTTCATTTTTTACAACTAGAAGTCTTTTCTAAGGTAACATTTCGAATGCTTAAAGTATTCATTTCAGGCGAATTTATGTGGTCAGAACTCAATTTATTGTTTGAAGTTTCACAACTTTCTATGATAGGACTAATTTTCTTAAAGTTCGATTACTTTATTCAACGCAAAATAGTTTCAATCTAAACAATCTTGCCTTGAAACAAATTCAATTTGACATATTTTAAAATCAGAAGACATAAAACGATTTACAAAATTGCATAAAAATTTGATGTTGAATATTTATTTCTTCAGAAATTTTTTAAATCTTTCATGCGGATTTTAAAACCATTCAAATTATCTCTATAAGCTTTCGTTTCTCTTTTTCTTTAATCAAATGTTAATCCTCTGTTACGGCCCCTATTATCCTGAGATCTCAACAAATCTTATTTTTTTCTGGAACTGGCGCAAATATACTTGCAGCATCGTTGTTAGGGGGGGGGGGAGATTCAAGACAACGTACCAGAAAAAGGTGAAGATAGGGAACGGAATCGATCTCAAGAAAATCTACAGACAATAGAAATCTGTGAAAAGGATATAAAACACGAACCCCCGGAAATTCCAGAGGTGGGATCAGGTGCCTAGGAGAAGTAAGTTGACCAGTCACACCCGCCATCAGTCTTCGAAATAACCCGGGAGTCCGATGCCCGGGACCTGGTAAAATTGCGGGCGGGCATGTAAGAAATGAAGATTCACATGCCCGCTGGGCATATGTAATGTTTTCTCCATTGTAGACTGACTTTTATGTAAAAATATTTTACACAGTGGATTGCAATCTATACTTTCGTTTATGATATTAAAGTGTGTACGGTATTTTATTCCATGACAACTCCTTTTCCCTTTTTATTTCTAATTGGCATTTCTTGATTTTTTTGTGTGTGAAAATTTGAATAGTAGTTTAGTAAAATACCTCGGTAAATAAAGTAAAAAGAAATTACATTTACGTCAGAAGTTATCGTTACCCCCCCCCCCTCTTTTTCAACATGTTCAATTGCTCAATACTCGTTTATTAAATTCAGATTTCTTCAAAAATAGCAATGATTACCACATTTTGGTAGATTTATTATTTATTGTAGATTCACTGACCTTTTTTAATTTTTTAACAGCCGTTTATAAATGTATTTAATGTACCAAATAAATATGCCGTCAGTAGTCAAGTAAATAGGTGAAATTTATTTTTTATTACCTAATGTAACAGTATCATTAAAACAGACGAGTATATATACTTAATAAGTTGACCAAAGAAGTGCATACACATTTGAAATCAATTTCACAGGTGTCATATGCAATGAAGCGTAACTAACTAATCCCTGTCGTCTTTCTACTGTTGTTGAAATGCACGAGATAATCATGCCACATTGTGTACACAAACTGTAATTACACTGTAGGATTTTCACCAGATTCAGTATGTTAAAAACTGCATGCAGGTTTTTCCGTAATGATAAACTACTATACATTGCAAAATTTTCGGAAATGCATTCCAGCAATAAAAAGTTTATGTTCTTGACCACCCGAAAGAATATTTTTCATTCTTGGAAATTTTTGGTTGTTGGTCCATTCTTGTATAAACAATGGTTCATACACTGTAAAGACAGCATTTTTTTTTTATTTCATGAAGTTAAATTTTGAGTAGGGCATGTAAACTTGGTAAAAGTAGTAGATGAGATGCGTTGAAAAAAATTGTTGTGAAGACTGCGCCATGAGCCAGCAAAAACAAAGAAGTAATTATCCAATCTCGAAAATTCTATGCGGTTGGGGGGGGGGGGGGAGGGGGTCCAGCTGTTTCAACAATAAGCTTTTTGGCTACATAAAACGGGGCGATTTTACCGTGCTGCAAAAAATTAGGGGAGGGGTTGCAGCTAGACTTTTCAATGAACATTTTCAAACTAAATTTACAGTAAAATATTATGTTCGAAAATATACTTCGTGCTTGCGGAGCATCAGATCTTCTTAATTAAATATTCATCTTTGTTTGTCTTTTCACTGTCGTGGTAAATGGATAAAGCATTAAGAACCCACATGTATTGGGCTCTGGAGAGCACTGAAAACATTGGCAGGGGCAGACCCAGGAATTTTTTTTTTCCAGAGAGAGGGGAGGGGGCACTACATTAAAAAAAAAATCCAACTCACAAATTTGTTGATAAAAAGAAAAGAAAACTCCTTTCCCCAGCGTAAGGATTTTTGCACAAAGTTTAAAACTTGTTTTTAGACGTAATTGCCAAAATAGATAGCCTACATCTAAATTTGCTATATTACGACTAGATGTTTACAGTTAAAATGATCAAGTAAATTGTGGTCTGAATCATGGAATAATTAAAGTACTGGTGGCACAGGTTTGTTTGTTCGTTCGTTTGTTTGTTTTTGTTTGTTTGTTTGATTGTTTGTTTTGTTGTTGTTTTTTTGTTTTGTTTTTTTTGTTTTGTTTTTTTAATGGAAAGAGTTGATTCATTTTCTTCTATAATATTATAATTTTTATAAATCTTATAAAGCTTTTATTCTCTCTTGTATAAATTGCGGTATTTTTATTGTTGTTTCTAGTGTCGAACACCGATCGACTTGCGATCATTTTCGGTGTTCGACTCCATATCATTTTTCGATATTAATTCAATGAGCTTTGGTTAATTATTTTGCGAATTATGTATCCAAAATCATATAAAAACAGCTTTTAAAAATATTGATTGGTATAAATCTGTCTTTTAAAGTATTGATTAGCTTACTTGGTAAATGTTTGGAGCTTTGAAACAACATGGATAATTCATTTACGACAGAAAATTTGGAGAAATCACCTTCAAATTTCCCGGCACCTAGAACTATTTACAGAAGAGTTCGACTTAGAAAAGATAACTCTAATTGATTAAATGGATAAAAAAGAAGACAGATAATCAAGAGTTGCCTACTATTTATTGTTTATCAAAAGGTGTAGGTGAGGTTTAAAATGCGTTCGACTCGCGGTCATGTTCGACTTACGATCAGTTTACCCTACATACTAGTATCTTTATAAGTTCATTGCCAGAAATAAATTGAATTCAGCATCAGTTGTTCGAAACATATTTTCAGAATATTGCTAGCATAGCAAACAAGAGTCCCATGGGCCACAATGTTCACCTGAGTCACCTAGGCTCTGTTATTCTTCATCATCAGAATGAAAAAAAAGCCCCCTATTGTGTGCGACCTTACCCTATTCCTAATGGGGTTAAGATTTAAATAACATTGAATCCACACATGAGAATGCTTGAGATATTACTCATATGGTTTTACTATTCTTGAGAAAAGATTTTTCATTTTTATGTAAATTTGATCCCCTATTGTGGCTTTATCTCAATCCAGGGGACCAATATGAATCTGCAATACGTAGGGATTCTTGAATATAAAAATTACTACTCAGGGACCTGCTGTTCTTTAAAGAAGATTTTTAAAGATTTTCCCCCAAGTATGTAAATGTTTCAATTTCAGGTGAGCTAAAAATCTCAGAAACAAATATGCACACATTTTATCAAACTAAAACGGCATCGATAAAGTGTAATCAAAGACATTATAACCAATGTCAGATTGTGGACCTATAGAATAAATAAAGGTAGTTATATTGAGTGTACCATAAGGACATACAAAGATTAATAGAGGATATTCAATGTTTTGTAGATGAATATGGAATTTATTTCACGAGTGGGACAGGATTTTTTGATATTTTCACGAGTGCAAAGCACGAGTGAAAATATCAAAAAATCCTGTCTCACGAGTGAAATAAATTCCATATTTATCTACAAAACATTGAATTTTCTGTTTATTACATTTTCTTTGATTTTCCCTTTGCCTCTGTCTTTTCTTAACACAGTGTCATAGGCTTGACGTCATAGTTGAGCGGTTAAGACGTCATAGCTTAGAAGTTGTGTGTCAGATTGAAAACATTACATAGCATGGATTTTAGCAACATATTTAGGAAGAAATTTGCAGTTTTAGCTCTATCAAGATGCTTAGTTACTATCTCTATCTTATGACAGGCCAGAAATTATTTTTTACTTACTTTGATATCCTTTCACACTGTGAGAAATTATCATTTTTGGTATCCTTTCACACTGTGAGAAAATATCACTTTTATTCAAAAAATAAATCACAGTATTTCACTGTTGAAAATGTAATAAACAGCAGTATACGACTAATGGTAAAAAAAATCCATGTATAAAGAACATATAGAATCTATTCTTATACAATATATGTAACTTTTGATTTTCGTAAAAACTACAAGTGTAAAAAAAACTTTTTTAAAAATTTTATTCTAAGGAGAAATTTTAAAACTCTGTCAATTGCATTTATAACTACCGGTATACACTTGAAATGTAGTTCTTATCATCAAATCTTATGACTAAGCAGCAGTTTTTTAATTGGTTAGATTTCAAAACTTCCTCGTTTCCTCCGATAGATTATCTATAAGAGTATTGATTATATGGTGCTATAAAATGCATTTGAAAATCAATCGTTCGGCTGTTGCGTGATAAATGATATATTTTATAAAGCAATCTTTATTCCTCTGTATTCATCATACACAATATTGCGGGGAAAGAGAAAAAAGAGCACAGCAAACAACTTATATCTGACAAATAATAATAATAAAAAAACAAAACAAACAAAATCAAGCAAAACAAAACAAAAAATCAAAACAGTACAAAATTGTGTTTCTTATGCATTTTACACATATCAGATTTCCAATTAAGGAAGTTGTGTTTTCTAGCATCCTCACAACAAAATTATTGCTTCTTCGCTTACGTTGTGTGAAGTTATCAAGTTTAATTTCAATTCAATATAAATTTTCAGATAAATATTGATTTCAAACAAATCAAAGTAAAACACGGTTACATTGAACACGATTATAACGAATTCCAGCTTACGGCGAAGTGATTTTCATTAATTCCCTGTGATTCTAAAACGTGTTTTAAATGGAATATAATGAATTACATTAACGAATCAAAACTGTGCGTTCCCGGGACTTCGCTATTCTGTTTTACGGAAAAATTAAAACAAAAAAAGAAAAGAATTATTTTGTTGTAAGGTAAAACTGAAAAAGTGCACTTATAATGTACTTTCTGTATGTTGCCTTGGTTTGACATATTACACTGCTGGTAAGAAGATCGGTAAGATTCGTGGGGATATTGTCTACCAAAATAAATAAATAAAATAAAAATACATGAATAAATAAATCTTTGGAACAGGAATTCATTCGATATTATCATAAACAAGCTGCAATTTGCAAGAAATCATAAACAAATTGATCGTCAATGATTTGTTAACTCTAGCACTCTGATATTTTTTGTCAGATAGCAAAATCAGAAAGTTCGCATATTTTTTGATACTTCGATTTGTGTTCAAAAGTGACAATACCAATACACGCTTGTATATGCATTTTTTTTTACTGTATTAATGAAAATATCTTTATTTAGATTTATTTTATCTTAATTTAGATTGTTGTGGCAATTAAGCACCTTAAACACCATTTTTGTGTAACCCTATTAGAATATGTGTTAATTTGCACTCTCTGGTATGCAATTCAAAATATTCTCAATAAACAATTTTGAATTTTTCATAAATATAGTTCTAAAATTAAATGCCATTTATGTTTGCATTACCATTTTTCTTTCATATAATACAAACGAGACAACCTTGCAAATAATTTCAAATATGCTGATTGTAAATGGTTAAAAATTTTCAACAAGTTTCGTATATTAGGATTTTTCTATGAATCATACATGTATGAAGGTTTGCATTTGATTTGCTTATATGTCTATGTATAACCTCTTTTTTTAAGAATGCACTTTGAAAATAGTTCTATAGTCGTAGATTTTTTTCAGAGTACATTCCCTGGAATGGCCATGGGTGATTAAAGATGGAATTTATATTCAACAAGAGGCCCAGGGGCCACATCGCTCACCTGAGCACTTTGGCTGGGAAAAGGCAGAAATCAGTTCAGTCTTGAAAAGTTTAAATATAAAAGGGGGGGGGGTATTATTTGAACTAACTTGAATCTCAATTCCTAAGGATGCTTCTGAACTAATATGACATATAAAGGCTTTGCTTTTCTTAAGAAGAAATGTTTTAAATATATATCCTATATATTCTATATTCCTTTGTATAACTATATCCCCTCTATTCTCCGGGGGGGGGGGGGGGGGTTCATGATTTGAACAAAGTTGAACCTACATTACCAGACAATACTTTTATATTATTATGACCAATCATGGTTTTGCTGTTCTTGAGAATAAGATTTTTCCTATGTATTACTATGTAAAACTTTGATCACCCATTGTGGCCCCCGGGGGTGATGATTTGAACAAACTTGATTCTACACTTTCTGAGGATGTTTCCATATGATTATGACCAATTATGGCTTTGCTGTTCCCTAGAAGAAATTTTTTAAAGATTTTTCCTATGTATTCCTTTCTAGAACTTCATAATTATCTCCCCCTAGAAGAAGGCGTGGCCATTCATTAGAACAATTTGGAATCCCTTCACCCACGGATACGTTGTTGCAAGTTTGGTTGAAATTGGCCAAGTTGTTCTTGAGAAGAGGACAACGACAGACAAAGCTCAAATTTCGATCCGAAAAGCTCACTTGAGCCTTCGAATCAGGTGAGCTAATAATACGTGGAATTAAAGAATTAATTGATTTCCTAGCTGAAAACACAAAACATCACTGGATGGAATTGAATTAGCCATAGGTAATTATATATATGGCTATTTGAAAGCTTGAACAAAACCACAGTACTAAGAGTCCCAGATTGTTAACCATTCGAATACCATACATTTCGTCATCTGTTTTACAACAATCACAAAAACACGAAAACGCCTTCATTAGTGGCGCACACCATGTCTGTGGTGACCATTTACAGCTTCTGCAGTATAACGTACAACAACAAAGCGGACAGGGCACGTTGCACGTGCAGCAAACTTCCCTCGGTTGAACACGACAAAAGTAGTCGGGGTTTTTGCAGCAAGCACAACGCCACCATGTGTTGCAGCATCCCCCGTTCAAGGCGAGTCCGCCAAAACTAGTAGCATACCGCGCCGTCACCGACACTGCAGCACTGATGACGCTCAGAAGACCGTACAGGGCCATTGTTTTCTGAACGTTATTGTCGACATGACAGACGCACAGGGAGAAGAAGGACATAGTAAGGCCTATTTGTGGAAGCTCCTCGAAGAACAGAACAAGTAGCACTTCGCTTTGACCGTGTAATACTTGAAACACGCTTGGTTTGCAGGTTTTGATCATCTCACATCCAATGTTAATTATCTGAATAATGGAGAGAAGGGATCCAATCAAAGAAAACGCAGCAAAAACTTTCCACACCGTCGATGGTACCCCGCATATTGGATCCTCGGTTGTAGTTATGTTCCCAAATGCCAAGCTGACGTTGGCATTTTTAGAACAGGTTATCATGTTCTCACTATTGCCAAAATTAATATTGGTGCTTACCAATAACCAGTCCATAGACAGATCCCAAACGATGCAGACGATCACAATTATACGCGCCAAAATGCCGACGCTACATACAAGGCCACTTTTTTCATTCATCTTGTTCTTTTCGTTATATGGACTTGCTTTTGCAATCCACGCGGGTCTTTCTTTTTCCTCTCCTCCTGGCACGATGTAATGGTTGTATTCGGACGCCGTATACTTGTTACCGTCATACATTATGACTGCCGACTCTCGAGATCTAGGGGCAACGCTTTGTGGGCGCTGGCGTTCGTCTGGGTTTACATATGCCCCAGAATTTCTCGGGCTTTTATCCGCTGCAAATCCTCCATTGACATATCCCTCACGAATATCACTAAATCGGTTCATATTTCCATTCTGAACATTTCTTTGGTTAACACCAACACCAGCATAGCTATTGCGATTTCGAGCAAGAGCAATGCCAGGCATAGGAACATATCTTTTATCGATATGATGGTCCATATGCTGGTAGTCCGGGAATGGCTCCTCGTGTCTAGACTTTCGGTAGTCCCCATTATCACTAGGGGAATACATACGATCGGTTGCGGGCCTTGGGCGTCGAAAGTCTCTCATCTCAACAATTTCGGGCGAATTAAAGTTCTGTTTTTGGTACCAGTCACGAGTGAAATCTTGACGATCCATACTCTTCTGTTTGTCTTGCCTCTTTTGACTCCCTTAGGATTTGTGGAGACAACACCCGTCTTGTGCGTTTTACCTTCCTGTTTTATCAAGCAACAGGTGCGTGTTTATACAGTTTAACGTTCAGATATTGATAACTGGCCAACATAAATGTAGATCGTTGAATTGAGGTTTATTGATAACGCACACCAACACCTTTTCTGCATTTACAAATATGTATGCACGTATCTGAGATATCTGTGAGTTTTTTAATACCTCGCCCAGATAATAACTCATGTTGCTTGTCTGTCTTCTTTTAAAATGTTCTGTTTACTACTTTGACCCCCTCCCCCCATATTAGATAAAATAAATTACTATTTACCTGTAATTGTTTATTCAAATACTAGACTTTGACCCGTGCGTGCACGGGTTGACATAGTTATGAATGCATCCATGTACATATCGGACATTTACCAAGGGTATCCTAAGTAGGAATGTATGAACTTGAAAGTACTTCTTGCTGCAATAATGAAACCTTTTCCTGGGGGTGGGGGTGGGGGGTACAACTCTTTTTGGATCATACAATATCATTTCCATTTTTTTTAATTGAAATCATACAATGTAATCAGAAACATTTTAAAATAAAATGTTTTTGATGTAATTATTCAGAGCATAAAGTTTTCCAAAATATTTAGTAAAGTCTGAGTTTACCGCAAACTTTAAAGTTTACTGACCTTGACCGATTTCAACAATTTACTGTTCATATATATTAAAATTCTCATATTTAATAAAGCAGGCCGTTTGATAAAAAAAGAATTTAAGCTATTTGATCAGATATTAGAATCTGTGTCTTCTTATAGATGTTTGGGGGTACTCTTTAGTGCCTCTGGAACCTTCTCATATGCTCAGGAAGACCTCTATAAAAAGCTTTGAAAGCATTTTATAAACTGCAAAAAGATTTTTTGTCTTTGAAACCCAGTGTTAAAACATCCCTTAATGTATTTGATCATACAATAAAACCTATTTTGCTTTATGGATGTGAAATATGGGGGAACATCAATCGACCTAGTATTTTCCTTAAAACCTGCAAACTCTCGGTGTATGACATTTTTAATAAGTTAAATTGTGAGAATCTACACATAAAATTTTGTAAGAATATATTAGGATTGCATAGAAAAAGTGCAAACTTCTCATTATCTGAGCTCGGTAGACTGCCTCTTCATTTTGATATTATTAAAAGTATTTTGAGTTATGTCCATAGATTAGAATGTCCAGACATGTCATTTCCATTATTGAGAGCAGCATACTCTCAAAGTAAGATTAATTGGAGTAACAGTATACCATCCTGGTATGGAACATTTAGTAAAATTGCAGAAATATTAAATTTTAATAAGGATACTTTTTCTAACAAATTGCAAACTTTCAAGACTACATGCAAAAAATTCTTATTTGCATATTACATGAATGAGTGGAACTTAATAAGATTGTCACAAGAAGGTAAACTGGATACTTATGTTAAGATCAAAAAAAATTTTGGACTTGAAAAATATTGACTTTGTCTACCATTTAAACAAAGGAAAGTAATATGTAGGTTGCGTACATCTTCTCACAATTTACAAATAGAAAGAGGTCGTTATTTGGGCATCCCTAGAGATCAAAGACTTTGTACTAAATGCTCAATGAATGTTATTGAAGATGAAAAACACATACTTTTTGAATGTTTGAATTATGTTACAGAAAGAGAGAATACGATGAATATTATACAAACACACTGTATCAATTTTGCTCATTTAAATAATGAAAATAAGTTGTTGTGGGTTCTAAACTGTGAAAATATTGAAGTGGTTTTTGCTGTATGTGAACTAGCTAGACAAGCCATTTAAAATATGCATATAAAGTCACATTGCAACATTTTCTTTAAATATATAGTACATGTAAATATATGTAATAATAATACATACAAAAATTGACACTTAATGTATTGTAATAGTTAGTACTTTTGCATTGCCACGTGGTATCTTTTGCAATGCGAGGACTGTAAAATCTCCCCACTTTGCATTAGGGTACACGGTAGTACTATTTCATTTATCAACATTACTTACATATACAGTACAATATACAAATACATGTACTGTAGATTATTATTTAGTATACACATAAATTGTCTGTACTGTTTGTAATTGTAGAAATCATACTTGTTGTTTGTGATGCCTGAAAGGGCCCTGATTTGGAAATAAAGAATCTTATCTATCTTATCTCTTATTAATTTTATGATTTCTTCTCTATGTATACCAGTGGTATATATATATATTTTTGTCCGTCGTTACTTATATCGCGTTAATTGTGAATTTTTATAGAGCAATATACATCAACATATGCTTAAAAAAATAAATCATGAAAAAATAACTTGGGAAGCACTAAATATATATGGGGGGGGGGGGGGGGTCCTTGTCCCCAAGCACCTTTGCTCTGATACTGATTTGAACACCGTTATTTAGCGTGAATGTAATGCGCACGCGCAAGATTGTAAAATAAAAAAAATCCAGATGATTTCCGGAATTTTTTGAGGAATTTTCGTTGATTATTAATTAGCGAAGCTTAATTGAGAAAAAAATAAAAACAAATTGGTAATCTTCAAGTACCAATGATGTTTAAAATATATAAAACAAAAGACAGCACTCCTCCGATTTATCGGTATTAAAGGCCAAAAATTCGAGTCTATAATTTTAATATAGTAGTATAGAGGTTCCAGTTGGTCATGTTAGAAAAAGGCTAAGTTACAGATGTGTAGCTTCAATGATTTTGCCACCATATACATAAAAAATCCAGCTAATATAGTTGTACCCCCCTCAACGTCTGATGACCCTTTTCTTCCCTCTCCTCCCTTTGTTTGGCTTGTCCAGTTGTCCAGAATTTATGTAAGATCTCCCCCCCCCCCCCCATCTGAAGTTGTTTACTAGGGACCTGTCTGGCATGTAGATATCTGTCTTTTTAAATTGTGTCCACGTCCAACCAGAGATCAGGGTGAAAGCAAAGGCAACAGTCCAACCATCTGTCCAAATCCTTGAATTTGCCAGTGTTCGACCTTACAGTAGCAAAAAGTGGGGGGGGGGGGCAACCAGCATCTAAAGGAAAAGAGCTAGGTTGACTTTATCCATAAAATGACCCTGCCGAAATACCAATTAACTGATCAATATAAAGTAAAGACTTAGTGTTCCTCAGAGTCCAGGAATTGAAAAACGGGCTTTGTGAAATTGAAATGTTCTTGAATTTTGAGGAAAAGGATGTATTTGAGTACATTTAACAAAGAAAAAAATATGACCCCACCTGGATTATAATCTTTTATAACAAGTTTGGAAAAGTGGGGGAGCCCAAAGTTATGTTTGGAAAAAAGAGGGCAGCCCCTCCTGATACTACGTGCCTGCAGCCTTTAACGCCTTTTTTCGCTTGGTAATACTAAGTTAGTATTCTTGTCCTTGTTAACGGGTTTTCTGTACGAAGCAATTGCATGGTTTGTACTCCCAAGCTCTTTTTAAATACTTCCTGCTTACCGTCTTGAATGATGAGCTACTTTCCACTCCTCTGTAGACGTTTGTAAGTAAACCGAGAAATCAACTGGTAAATAATTCAGATAGCGTCTGAACATCGGGCAACTTACTCTAGCAAATATCAGGTAGGTGTTCGGTTATGCGGGTGGGGGTAGGGGGGAATTGAAATAATGAAATATATTTTGGTTATATCTCGTTTTTATTCTAAAACCAGGTCCGTAGGAAGCAATTTCACTGGGGGGGGGGGCACAACCATATATTTTCAGTGGGGGGGGGGGCACTATCAATTTCCAAGCAAAAAAAGGTCATCAGACGTTATTATTCAGAGGGCACAAGCATATCTAGTAGCTATGCTTTCTATAGTATCTATATAGTATTCTATATATCGGCAAAATTATTGGGTACGCCCCTCCCGTGCCCCCCCCCCCCGGTTCCTCCGGCCATGAAAACAAAATCTTTCCAATAGACCCTCTTTTGTTTTTATTGGTTTTCCCGCGTTTTCATGTTCCACATTGATCGATGCACGGTTCATTGAACCGAGACGTTTCCGCAATACAGGTAACAAAAAGGAGAAGCTTCGAAGAACGTGAAACCACATAAAAAAAATGCCGGTGGAGGGTCGAAGGGATAGACGGGTGGGGTCCCGAGAGGATGTAGCCATGGAAGAGAGGCGGAACGATTTGATCAGGGTAAGTAGACAAGGGGAAAAGGGGGGGGGGTCAGAGAGTTGACCGATTTAGTCATCAATCGATGACAGCAAATAAGATATTTGTTTATAAACAAGCTTAACATGTGCGACTATTCCGGATTGTTTACAATGCATGACATCAAAGGGGTACATATAATGAGCAGAATGCATTAAACAAATTGAAAATGGAAAAAAGTTTGATGTCAAGTAAACATTTATAATCTTTTAATCCCTGATTGCCATGACATGACCAAGTTAAAATAGAGTGTACATATTCCTAGCATAAAGTTTCCACCATTTGAACTTTTTTGACTTCCAGCATTTCACTGGGGCACAAGTTTTAAGTGTCAAAATACTGTCCTTTATTTTCTGTACCCGGATTTTTTCCTGTCAAAAATGTCAATTAGACCGTCCACGCAGGTAATCCTAACAAGCTTTTAAGCTAGTTATCAGGGTTTGCTAAATTGACCATACCATGACAAATTTTTTTCTTCACTTGCAATGTTTATAAATATGTCTTAATATTTTTCTTATGAATCTTAATTAGGAAATGGAAGACGTAGGTATTCTCAAGGGTGTGACTTGCATGTTTTTCTCTATTCAAACAGGAATTTTAAAAGTGCACATTTCCCTTTCCCGAGTAATATAATACGGTACATGTTTACCTATGCAGTATTGTAATTAAAGCACCAACAAAGTAACATTTGATGAATGGTAATAATTTACTAAAACTTGCACATATTACAAAGTGATATTAAAGAACAGTTTTAATTGTGGTTTGTGCATTGTATGAAAATAACAAAATTTACAAAATCAATTAAAGTACTTGTATTTAGTTAATTTAATTCACAGAAACAAGATTTAGGACTGCTGCTTTATTTCCATGAAAAATTCCTTGTCTGCACAGTCAGGAGTTTGAGAAGTTCACAAAAAGTTGAAATATCCAAGTAGTTTTCAGTGGCCTTGAAATTCACACCTGACTAATGCAAGGCCACAGTTAGATGGATGGCCACCTTAATTGGTGATATAGGTTTATCAGTTGACAAATTGATATCTTCAAGTAACATTTGATGGATGATTGATCAAAGACAAGGAATTTTTTATGGTTGATTGCATGTATGAATGGTGACCTAATTGCAAAAATAGCATGATTCATTTATTCCAGAATTTAGAGATATAAGGAGCTGTTGCATTTTCTGCTTATAATTTTATTGCATTTGGTTTTGTTGAACCATTTGATTTTTTAATAAATTTACATTTCTTAATTACTAGATGTGAAATATACTCATTTTATTTCAAGCTTACCTCAACAAAATTCAGATCCCCCCCCCCCCCCAAGTTGGAATTGGTGCTCCAGGTTAAAGTTTTTAGATCAGGTTCATTTCCCAAGGATTTTACTAGATCAAACTTGCAGGAATAGAGATGCCTACTACCATTCATGCTTTGGATGCTGCATCTGATTGATTTTTTTTTTCTGGAATGAGGAGTCAGGTTAAAGTTTTGGAAGCATATATATCTTTTCCCAAGTAATAATAAGCATTATCTGGACTATACATGGACGAAGCAACAATTAAAGGTTTACTGTTACTCTTGTTTATAATCTATGTTTTCTAGATGAGTTCAATGAGATTAAGGATTTTTAGAGCACATCCATTGTCAAGTCCTACCTGAACTCTGCATGGATGAAGCATTTATAGATGCTTAATACCTGTCATGGAAGCTTGCATTTCATCTTTGTTTTCCAGATTAGTGGCCAGGTATAAGTTTTATGAGCATATGCAATTACTGAGTAATTAAGGTATACTTTGGACCCAGCTTGCATGGATGATCTGCCTAGAAAACTTTAGTCTTGCCCCAAATGCTATATTTTCTAGATGTGTTACTTATACACACTATAATAATGGAAGTAACAAATGCACCTTAGAATTGAAATTTCATTTGATATGAGGCCTTTCTCATAGATGACATTTGTTGAGGCGAGCTTTGTAATCCTTGATTTTGATTTACTGGGAATCTTTTTATAAAATCTATTAATGCTTTTATTAGTAACATATGAAAGATGAAAGGGAATCAATTACTTAATGTATCAACTCAAAAATGAAAATATATGATAACATAAAGTGTATATTAAATCTTTTCTATTTTATTTCACAGAGGTTCCGCCCGATGTTTGACAAGGTAGGGAAATCTTTTAAATAAATTGAAATAAGGAAGATATTTCACTAAAAATTCTAGACATGCATGCAATATTTCTTTTATGGAATTTTTATCTGGCTTTAGGCATGTGATGTAGATAACACTTTTATGATTGCTTACATCTTACTGTGAACTGAATCGTAATTATAATACAGATGTTATCAGGGAGATGTTTTAAAAATTTGACATTTTAAGATATTTACAATTAACCCAAGGGCATGTAGTGTAAATGTATCTCCAAAATGCATCTAGGAAGAAAATTATGAATAAAGAATTGATGAATAATTCATAATGAAGAGGAGTTTGTTCAAAATGATACCAGAAATTTTGTTGGAAAAATGAAATTAAAGTGAAGGATTACTTTCAACTGATGGTGTATCAATGATTTTAATTATATCATGATTTTTTTTTCTTTTTAAAATTGTGGCCTATATTGAGCTGTACTCTTATTTAATCCTGATAATTTTTACAGCATGGCAGACAAGGTGTACCTTTACGTGATTTACGGGAGGAGCTGGAAGAAGAGGGACTGACAGAAAGTATTGCTCCGGAGCGATTGGACGAACTCCTCCGACGAGCTGATAGGGATGGAGATAAAAAAATCCGACTCGGGGAGTTTGTCAGAATGGTTAGATCTTAGGAATAATCAATAACATGTTAAGATTGTTTGATTAAATATCCTTGTCTTTAAGTCATTTTATTGAGAAACGTGACATAATTTTTATCCCCCTTTCCAAAATCAAACCAGAGGACTTCTAATTTGTTAACTTTATTTATGTCCCAACCATAAATATTGAATTTCACTTATGAAATAAATTCAGATAAAGAATGTTTATGGCCAAATTGAAGGTCAAGGTCAAACCCCATGTCAAGGTCATACACATTTATGACAAATTCAAAGGTTATTCAGGTGTGGAGTTTTCACAGTTGATATCTGTATATAATGAACAACTCTTGTCAAAAAATAAGTGAGTGATAATATTAAAAGGTACATCCTGTCTCCTTATAGCTGAATTAACTTGGTAAAATGTGCAGAGGGAATAAAAAAAGATTATTAAATTGAAATTGAAAATGATTGAAAAGTGTATAAATATCAGTTCTCTGTTAAAAAAAGATTGTTTCCCCTTTTTTACTCATTCACTCGCAATTTACTCATCATTTTGACCAAAAAATAGGTGTAGGTAGGGAATTAAATAATTTTATAGTTTTGATGAAAATTTTAAGAAAAATTATTTCAAAGGAACAGCATTTAATTATTTTGCTAGAGGCAATTATTGGTGAAGTTAGTAAACAGGGGGAAAACAAAGTATAAATATATGCCTTATTATCTGTTAATGTAGATGACCGGAGATGACATTAAGGATCATGAACGAAAGAAGATGGGAGGTCTGCTAGGGGCAGCCATTGCTAACATTGTTCCCCAGAGCATGAGAGAGGATTTCATAGCAAACTACAACTGTAAACCTCCTCCTATCTTCATGATCTTCATCAGCATTGTAGAGGTAAGGAGAAGTTGAGGTAGGATTTCATAGCAAACTACAACTTTAAACCTCCTCCTGTCTTCATGATCTTCATTAGCATTGTAGAGGTAAGGAGAAGCTGCGGAAGGGTTTTATAACAAACTACAACTATAGCCCCAACCCCCCTCATCTTCATCAGCATTGTAGAGGTAAGGAGAAGCTGCGGAAGGGTTTTATAACAAACTACAACTATAGCCCCAACCCCCCTCATCTTCATCAGTATTGTAGAGGTAAGGAGAAGCTGCGGAAGGAATTTATAACAAACTACAACTATAGCCCCAACCCCCCTCATCTTCATCAGTATTTTAGAGGTAAGGAGAAGCTGCGGAAGGGTTTTATAACAAACTACAACCATAGCCCCAACCCCCCTCATCTTCATCAGCATTGTAGAGGTATGGAGAAGCTGTGTCAGATTGTTGTAAAACAAGGATTACTGTGAAGTAGAGTACAATATATTGAGAGAAATGCATTTTATGATTAGGATATATGCAGTAGAACTTGGATGTAGGGGAATTCTATGGTCATCAAATTGCTTCTTTGTATCCATATTTGGTATATAGTTGATATTTTATTAGTCAAAACATCTTGATGACAAAATATTCAGGTATAGTCAAACATTGAAACTGATAGGACCAAGAAAAAAAAATATCCGAGGGATTCAGATGTTGAGATTTATTTAATACGCATAGAGGAAAAGTGGTTGGGATTTTCAACTCACTGCAACATACCCATGGTACTCTCTGGAATTATTGACTTCAGATGGGGTCTCTCCATGACTTTATGGACCTGTTCAGGTATTGGTTGACTGAGGTGGCAGACCGAGGTTAACGAGTACCTTACCATGTTGGTATAGTCATGAGCAGACTGAATTCAAAAGGCAATAACCTTTTTATTAAATAATCAGGAATTTTACAACATTTTTCACACTACAGTTCTTAATTGTCTCGAAGAAATATTAACACTTATAATATAATGTGTTGTTTTAACAAAATATCATAACATGATAATATTTCACCAGGTTAAGGACTGTTAACAAAGTGAAAACAGTGTAATATAATGATAAAATAAAATACGGAATCATTTATTAATGAAGGAGTTTAGTCTCTTTGATACTGTAGCTGCCAATTTTACATTTTCAATGACGCATGCGCATGCTTCAAAACATGCACTTTGATTAGTTGATAAAAATGTGAGCAAATGTATGGTTGGTCGAGAGAGAAACCTGAATGAACCTCACAGAACGTCATTTTGAGGTGAATTTGCTCTGAGATACACCTCAGGAAAGAATGTTTGGACCAATCAAAATTCCTGATCATTTAATAAAAGATACAGATGTTTAAAATAATGAAGTTCAGTTGTATATGCATGTTCACTATGAACAGATTTGACTGTACCAATGTATTCTTCAAGCATCTTATGTTTGCTTTGATGCATGTCTGGGTATTGAAAGAAACTGAAAAATCAGAGCTAGGTACCATTCAAAGCATTTTGAAATGATTTAATCAGGACGTTTTTATTAATCAGATTATGGTATTTGAATCTGTTGTTTTCAGATAGTAATTTTTGTTGTTTACGCTGAGGAACAGAAGTCTCGTGGTGTAGCGACCACGTCTGTCTCTGGAGTCCCTCTGTACAGCCCTCTGTTGTATAAACCAACCAGACGCTACGAGGCATGGAGATTTGTCACCTATATGTTTCTACACCAAGGGTAAGTCATTTTACCTGTATGTACACATACAAGCCCAAAAGTTTCCTTATATCTTTATTCATCTGTATCTCTGTTTGACCTATGGATGTCAACGTTAAGGTACATGTGTATCAGATATGAAATTTTGACATGTTCCAAGACAAATGTCTGAATTTTGTACTTTTGTAGGGATGTATGTGTAAGGTTGGAATTGCATATGCAGGTATTTTACCAGAAAATACAGGTCAAGTTTGAATTTAGTCGTGGTTCGATGATTTTTGACAGAGTTATCCCTCTTGAACTTAGAAAAAAAATCTTTTGTGCAAACAAATTTAAAACTAAATATGGCATTTCAAATTTTGGCTGCCTGCGGGGGCATTCGTGGTGTTAATTAAGACACATCTAGACTTACAGTAGATTCAAATGTGTTCATAAAAAGGCCACTGGGGCTAGGGTGAGGCCATATTACCCTCCCTGATTTAATATTGTATTGTCATCTTCACAAATACAAAGCTATTATCATCCTGTTTTTCACATCTCATGCAGCCAATCATATTTTGCACAAGTCAAGGTTTTAAAAATCTGTTAAATCATCAAATTATTGTCAATTATCGCCATTACTTCAGGTCCCTACTGATAGACATGTAATATTGAGTATGTGACTCAACCATCTACAGCAATATTTCAAGATAGTGGATATCAATATGAATTTTAACGTGAATTTTTAAAAGATATAATATAGAAAATATAAATCTACTTTTAGTACTTTGTTATTATAACCATTTGATCTTATTATTTTGATTATTCAAGAAGTTAAGAAGTGGTAAAGCTCCATATTTAAGTTAAGTAATATTACTTCAGTTATTTATTCTCTCTGTAAGTCAGTGACATTAGAAATATCAGATGACATAGTTTCAGTTTATTTTTAAATAGAAAGCAAATATTTTTTAATGTTTAATTGCATCGTTCATATGACTGCTAGCCAATTAAAAACACCTGAAAGTATGTTTCTTTGTATATAATCTAATACTGATATAGGTGCAGGGGCAATGCTCTCAGAGTGTAAAAAATATTTTTAAAACTCATACTATAAAAATAAAAACACTTATTACTCTATCTGATTTTTTAAATATTTTTTTTTGTTGTATCTTGGCTCTGCTGTTCTTTAGAAGACAATTTTAAAACATTTTTATATACCCCAATCAATGAATCGCAGAGGTTATACTTCTGTCAGTCAGTGATCAAAGTTTTACATAGCAATACATAGGAAAAAGCTTTTAAAATCTTATTCTCAAGATCATCAAAGCCATGATTAGTAAAATATATCTGGAAGTTATCCTCCAGTAGTGTAGATTCAGATTTCTTTAAATCATGACCCCTGAGGATAGGGTGGGGCTGCAGTGGATGATCAAAGTTTTAGAAAGAAATATATAAAGGACTAGAAACTCATTGCAAGCAATGAGAGGTCTTCCGTCCGATTTTGAAAATAAAAATGTAAATTCAAGCTGAAAAGTGAAAAAAAATTCAAACACTCTGGAGATTTAACCCTGGTCGTCAGCGTGAAAATCCAACGTGCTAACCATTACGCCATTTCAACTCCCGCTTCAAAGTGAAAATGACGAATATCAAGAGTTTGGATTTATCAATTCGAAAACAAATTATACATTTAGTACTTTGAAAAGAGGCTCTCTTAACCCTACAAATATTACAGAAAAATATTGAAGTTTGAAATATTGAATATTGAAGTTTCTTTAAATTCGCTTTTGGAAGCGACCGGAACTAACGACTACGCATGAAAAGGTCCCTTCGCAATCTAGGAATCATGTTCTATCATCTCTAAAAAAAAAAAAAATCACTCAACATCATTTATAAAGTTGAAAACGTAAATTTAAGCAAACAAATTCGGGATTAAACCCAGATCGCCTTCGTGAAAATTCATTTTTTTCTATATAGTGTGGAATTATAGAATGAGAACTAGCTAGCCAAATTTTGTGCAAGCAGATTCACATCAGAATTCGTTACTTGAATTTAAACAATAACAAATAATCTATTACTGATGAACTGATGATACTGTTTACTTCCTTTATTCTTTGTGTATTCAACTTTTTATTCCATGCAATTCCATATACCTGTATTTCATACAAACGTGTCCGTGTAATCTTTTTCTGCACTTCTGCATCAGACCATTTTTCTACTATGAAAGAAGAGTCACGATACATTACGTCACGAGTAAATCGTGCCTTTTCTTTGAAATGTGTGTTCTTTTGAATGGTCTCCATTCTCATATATATTATTGTATGTATCGTACAAATTACTCATTTATCCGCCGGAAACTGCCTTTAACTCATTTCATATTTTACTCTGCATAAAGTTCTTCAAACGTTTTTTTTCTCTTGTCTAATTCTTCCTTGGATATTGGTTTTGATTACAACATCATGTAAGTAATCTTTGAAAGCAAAACATAGTGTTGGGCGTGCTTCAAAGTAACTCAGACTTGAAAGGTATAACATTTGGAGGAATTTCAAATAAGATCACATGACTGTATCAGCAACATGGTAGAACACCATTGACGTCCGAGGTTAGTGTGCCAGGAATGAGCCACTCAAGGAGCTTTGAGTGCCAACCTGCTCGTCGGAGATTGCGAACACAGCCGCCATTTTAGACCCGCTTCAAATTTTAAAATGCGAATATCTAGAGTTTAGATTTTAATTATCAATTTGAAAACAAATTATATATTAAGCATTTTCAAAAGTGCCTCTATTAACACTACTACTATCAAAGAAAAATATTTAAAATCGAAAAAGTTTTAAAACATCAACTTTTTAAATTCATATCTGGTAACGACCGGAAGTAATGACAACGAACGAAAAGTCACGTCCTGGCTAGTATTTATCACGATCTATAATCCCTGAAAGATTATCCGTGGACAAAATGTTATTTTAAATTCAGAAAATGGTCCGTAACTTAGCACCGGAAAGGAATTTCCAAAAATTCTCTTGGATAAAATAACTTCCGATTACAACACATTGTTCCTGCAAATTTTATTAAAATCCATCCAGTAGTCTTCGAGAAATCACTTGCACAAAATTAGATGGTCAGAAAAATAATAATAAGAAGAAGAAACAGTAGAATCACTATAAGCTCTTCCGTGAAGACGGCAGACCTTAAAAAGTCTTTAAAAAATTTCTTCTCAAGAACAGCAAAGCCATGGTTCTAATAGTCATTATTGAAGTATCGTAAGGTAACGTAGATTCAAAATTAATTTAAATCATGACCCTCAGGGTGGGGCCACAATGGTCGATCAAAGTTTTACACAGGAATACGTAGGAAAAATCTTTAAAATCTTATTTTCAAGAACAACAAAGTCTTGATGTCATATTTATATGGAAGCATCTTCAGGTACTAAACCCTTGGCCTATATCATGCTATCAAAAGTTTGTTTCACATGATCCCAAACTTTTAAGTCTGATTTTACAGTGCATTCAGAAATCAAGTTAACACCTGAAGTACATTGTACAATCAACATCAGAGAACTCTTTTGTATAATTTCTGTTTCCTTTAAGGTACATCCATTTGATTTCTAACCTGATCTTCCAGTTACTGCTGGGCCTGCCTTTAGAGCTGGTTCATAAATTCTGGAGAGTTTTTCTTATTTATGTCCTGGGAGTTATTGCAGGTATCTTCTTTAACTTTCCTAAACTTGTCAATCTTTGGTTTATCACTGTGTGCTGGAACAGTTCACTTTGCAAAGGAAGATAACTCTTATATATGAAGATATATGAAGATAACTCTCATATAAAAAAGATTATGTCAAAGAAAATGAAAAGTTTTCCCCCTTTTTATGCTTTATATTTTTATTCTTGATAGGTTCCCTCGCCCATTCTGTGACAGATCATGCAGTGTCTTTATGTGGAGCCAGTGGTGGATGCTATGCCCTGATTGGTGCCCATATTGCATCCGTTATTACTGTAAGTTATAGTATATAATGGATAAACATACGGTAACCATATTATAAAAGATAAAATACAGCAGACCTCTGATGGCTTGGACACCAATCCAGTAAGTCAAATACAGTCAAACCTCGTATCTTGAACTCAATGGGACTGAGAGAAAACTTCAAGATTCCCGATGATTTGAGATATCGAGGGTAAAATACTTCAAGAAAAAGTGGTTGGGACTTCTAAATCACTATAATTGACATAATTATCCATGAGATTTGAGATATCAGTGTTCAAGATACCAAAGTTCAATTGTACCAGGAATTTTTAAGTTTTCCATCCACTTTGCCAAGTTTGAGGTATTGAAATTTTACAGTAAATATGCATTGATTCTTAATTGTATATATATACCGAGAAAGAAGAGAAACAATAATTAAATTTACTTGCAATTGATATTTTTATAAATGTTTCTTTCTAGAACTGGAAGGAAATGAATTACAAGTGCTGTGATGGATCCATTCTGCGATTTCTTCTCAGTGCACCTGTTAGATTAACAGTATTTCTTGTCTTATGTGAGTGTTTTAATGAAACACGAGATATACTTTGAATTTCACATCTGATTTAGTTGAAATAAAAAAGAAAAGCATCCTCTAGCAATGGGATTTTACCAAAGAACACAATTTTTTTCCCCGAAGGAATGATATCATATTCACATTCCTGAAGGGAAATTAAAAACTATAGTACATGTATTAAAATAATCAAAGGTCATATTATGATCTGTTATTTTATGGTTATAGCTATTGGTGACACCAGTGTTGCTGTTTATAGAAGATTCTTTGAAGAAGGTGCTACTAAAATTGGTATTTCTGCTCACATTGGAGGCATGATGGCTGGTAATTAAGATTTATGTGATTTTTAAGAAAAATTTAAAGGACAAACAGCCTTAAACTCTGTTTATTATACCCCCGCTCCGAAGGAGAGGGGGGTATACTGTTTTACCCTTGTGTGTCTGTCTGTCTGTCTGTCTGTCTGTCTGTCTGTCCGTCCGTCTGTCTGTCTGTCTGTCTGTCCGTAACTGATTTTGGTCGCAGTTTTCTCAGCAACTACTCATCAGAGGTGCTTGAAATTTTAACACACTCTTTGTTTAGGCATGCCATATGGTGGGATTCATTTTTGTACTAATCCGATGTCAACTTCCTGTTTATCCGTGCGTTTGTCCGTACCATACATAAAAAAATTTGGTCGTAGTTTTCTCAGCAACTACTCATCGCAGATGCTTGAAATTTTAGCACAATCTTTGTTTAGGCATGCCATATGGTGGGATTCATTTTTGTACGAATCCGATGTCAACTTCCTGTTTATCCGTGCGTCTGTCCATACCACACATAACAGACTTTGGTCGCAGTTTTCTCAGCAACTACTCATCACAGGTGCTTGAAATTTTAACACACTCTTTGTTTAGGCATGCCATATGGTGGGATTCATTTTTGTACTAATCCGATGTCAACTTCCTGTTTATCCGTGCGTCTGTCCGTACCACACATAACAAACTTTGGTTGTAGTTTTCTCAGCAACTACTCATTGCAGATGCTTGAAATTTTAGCACAATCTTTGTTTAGGCATGCCATATGGTGGGATTCATTTTTGTACGAATCCGATGTCAACTTCCTGTTTATCCGTGCGTCTGTCTGTACCATACATAACAAATTTTGGTCGTAGTTTTCTCAGCAACTACTCATTGCAGATGCTTGAAATTTTAGCACAATCTTTGTTTAGGCATGCCATATAATAGGATTCATTTTTGGAACAAATCCGATGTCAACTTCCTGTTTATCCATGCGTCTGTCCGTACCATACATAATAAATTTTGGTCGTAGTTTTCTCAGCAACTACTCATTGCAGATGCTTGAAATTTTTTCTTTGTTTAGGCATGCCATATGTTGGGATTCAGTTTTTACAAATCCGATGTCAATTTCCTGATTATCACTGTGTTTGTCCATAACTGAACTTGTGTATTCACATCAGAGCGGGGGTATTATTAGTGAGCATTGGCTCACAGACTTCTTGTTAAGTAATATTAAACACTAGTTCTACCTTTATTTTACAGGGTTGCTTATTGGAGTTCCACTGCTTAAGAATGTGAATGTATTACCCTGGGAGAGGAAGCTAGGCTGGGTCTCGTTGATCATATACCTCATTTTTGTTGCATTCTGTATGTTTTTTAATGGACTTTATCATGGCTACCCAGAAACAGACTGGTCATCCTGCTGTCCAGCCTGAGAGGTGCTGCATCTAATAGTTATTCCAATTTCATATGAAATTACCTCACTAGGTTTTTTTCCCCTTTATATTGACAATACATTACATGATGTGTTACATTGATTACAATTCTTTACAGTCCTTTATTGTCCTACAGGATATATTACATAGACATAGGCAGTTAAGGAACATGTGTGCCTTTATATTAAAGTATTAATTTAATAACATTTATTGTTAATTTCAATGTGCTTTCATTTTAATGCTTTTAACCTCATCTTTGAAATTCAATTATTAATAAATCTTACATTAACTATTAAATTTTATAATAGATAACAGTTTAACTTTCACTTGAAGTAGAGAACTTAGTCATCTCCAATACTAGTGAATAATGAACCATATAAGTCATTTGTAGTACCTATAGGCTTCCCCCTTCTACCGGTAATTGACCATTTGTTTTTGTTTTTTTTCTATAGTTTATAAATGCATTTTCTTTACATATTATTGAAAAAACTTTGAGCTTTCCTGAATCACTGAGACTCGAGTGAGCTTTCCTGGTCAAAATTGGTCAGTTAGCATTCAAGTTTCAATGACTACTGTAAACCAACTTTTATTCGTGTGGGAGAAATATCAGAGAGTTTCATGACCTTCTTTAATTTGAATTAATCACTGCAAACCATTTATTTTTCTTTGTATTTATAGAGAATGTTTCCTAAGTAGCAAAAATTAATCATTGTGGATTGATTTCAAACTGATGAATCGCGAATAAAAGATGACGCGAATAATAATTGGTTTACAGTAATTCAAGATGAAGTAATTGTCCCAAATATCAAGTGGGGATACAGAAGGAATCTATAGACCTTGTGAAAAAAAAGAACAAATTTTCAAGTACCGTATATACTCGCCTATAAGTCGGCTGTATTTTTTAAGCTTAAATTGGAGGGATTGACCCGCTAAAATAGCAATATTTTTATAACTCACGTATAAGTCGGATAAAGAAATTTGGACCAAAATTTAACTCCCAAAAAACCGACTTATAGGCCAGTATATACGGTATACAACCATTCATTCATAAGGACTTTAACTTAATTAAAATGAATTAGAAAGGAAGCAGCCTAGGTACAGATTCTAATTTGTTGAGGTCATGACCCCAGAGATGAAGTTTAGGATACAGAAAGAACATGTTGACTTAATAAATAACAAGGCCTCTTGTTTTGTCCAATAAATACATGAATGCCATCATGTTTGAGTAAGGCATTCCACTTTGTAAGAGGTCCCTCGAGTCTCAACAGAAAGAGAGAGAGAGAACTGTTACTCAAGTGTGCATTGTGGTGAGGCTTGTTTTGAAAAATATGTATTATCTGCTACTGCATAATCAATATTGCTATATTTTTATAATTTTTTGATATCTGTATTACAAGGAATCTGACAACAGAATCTTTTAAATTAGATGCCATATGTTTTACAATCTATTCATATCATTTTATAACTTGGTTAGTGATATATGTATATATATAGTTATAAATCATGACATTGAAATGTTTTATAATACTTGTTAATGTTTTTAGTGTATGTACAGTATATTTAATTCACCAGTAATTATTTAAGTTTTTATGGAAAATATATAACTGTATAACGGGTATTTTCTGCGGTTGGAAATGTTTGCAATTTGACCCTTGAAAGGTAGCAAATTAATTTCTGCATTTTCAATTTCTGCTGTTGCATATTATACCGCAGAAATTTGTTTACAGGATATGAACGTTAACACCAAATTCTAAGGATTTGGCAGAATTTTGACACTGCCATGTTTACATTTTAAATATTCATTTAAAGACATTTTGAACAAAAATGCATGAGATCTGGTTCTAAGCTCTACTATCTTGTATTTGTCTTAGTAAACTATTTTTCAAATCCATTTATTTCATACATTCCTGAACTTAATTCTTTTTTTTAGAATGTAGAGTAAGAAGGTATGAAATAACATTAAACCAGGTTGACTAACATAAGCACCACTTATCAGACTTTTATGTATAAAATATCTGAATTAATAATGATGAAATATTTTGTGATAGTAATTTTTGCGGATTGTCCCATCTGCAAAATTCTGCAAATATTGAACAACCGCAGAAAATACCTGTTATACGGTATACATCTAAATACACACATAACTTGCCATTTATTTGATTTGTTTTTACTTCTGCACAAAATGGAATATTAAATGAATTGTTAAATGTATGAATATGGTAGTCTTTTGCTTCATAATTTTGGACATACACTTATTTATTTGGATAGCTCAATGGATAGCTGTCAACTGGAATTTTACAGCAAAAATGCAAATGCATAGGGGGAAAAACAGATCTCTATGATGAAACCATAACTATTAAAAACAGTTTAAGAGAAAAGGTGCACATTGACTTGTAGCCATTTTCTATTGAAAGAAACAAATCTTCCCCATTAAATGGACAGAAGGGAGAAGGCCTAGGTACTTTAAAATACTTCAATTTTTAGATTACCTCAAAAAGTTAATATGAGCTCATGCTAAACTCCTAGCATTGGAGTCAGCTCTGGTTTGGTAGTCCAGGTAAAGTTTTTGTAGCAAATCCATTCCCCAGTACCTATAAGTCTTAACTGGACCAAACTCGCATGGATGATGTATCTAGGAATGCATACTATTAGACAAACTTTGGATGCTGGATATGCAGTGTAGTCCATTCTTATCCCAATTACATGTACAACCTACTCCACTTATACTGAAGTTGCTTACTTTGAAATATCACTTATTTTGAAGTGAAACTAACTCCCCAGTCTTAGTTTCTCATTATCTTTGTAGTAAAATATCAGTTAAATTGAAATTGCTTCGTCCACTGAAATGATATGGGTTGGTTCAATAACTTTTAAATATTGAAGTCCTTCTGGCCAGTTGGTGACATCATAACTGTACAGGTAGATGCTAAGGTGTCAATAGATATACCTTCACCTAATATGTTTTCATGACCTTGCATGTTTTTATAATAAGAGATAAATTATTGAGGGGTATGTTATCCTCTCAGATCACAAACTCCCAGTGCTTTTGAACAGCTGTTTGAACACATGCGTGAAAATGGGTAAACCACAAGAAAGATTAACATTGTCCAGCACATTCTAACAATGATATACAATATGTAACAGCGTGGCACTGTTTTTGAAGCCCTTGAGTCTGGCAACTTTTCCTTTACTGATAAAGAATAAGGAAAATAATATTGAAGTTAAAAAATATTGGATATTTCCTAAGATGCATCTTCATTTTATAACAGGTTGGTGCAATATGTCAAAAGTTTAAAATGTACTTGACTCTTATAATAGAGATAGAATAAAACTAATTACAACATGAAATTTTTCTAAAATGATTTTTTTTTTCTCTGATTAACTATTGTAACAGATAAAACTATAGGTACTGTGAGCAGTGAGCTCACAAAATGAAACCCCTGTTCCCATATGAGTATAATGGCAAAGTCCATATTTTGCTATATGGGAAAGCCCAAATAATCTGTCCAATCAGTATAATTCAAGTAGGAGGTGCAGAATGCAACTATGTAATAAAGATTCTTTGAAAAGTATATACACTGTATCATTAAATTTTATTCAGTGTTATAGGGGGTGTTGCGGATAAGAGATAAGTACCCCCGATAAAATAGAAAGAATGGCATGCATTGTCCAATGTTTCGCTATGGGAAACCTGAATATCTTTCGGATCAAAGAGTAAAATAATTAAATAGGTGTACCATGGCATTATGTAATAAAGATTCGGTGAAATGTCATTATAAATTTTATTCAGTTGTATAGGAAGAGATCACCATACCCCCCCCCCCCTCCCAAACAGGGAGTATAACAAAGTCAAAGGAAATGTCGGATTCTTTGAAGCAAAAAGGGGCTGGGAGGTTTTTTGGGGGGGGGGGGGGGGGAGACTCAAATTCTATCTTTTGATATTAGAAGTACGTGCAATTTAGGACTACATCCTATTATCCCCCAGTTAATGACCAGTATTATTATGCCCCACCATAAATATGGCTTGGGCATATAGTGTTTGTCATGAGTGTCTTTCATCTTTCCATCTGTTTGTCCACTTTGTGTTAAGCTCATATTGAAAGTCTGTTTATTATATCAGGGACCTATATACAAGTATATACATGTAGGTCCCTGATTATATGTTCATCAAAATTCATAAACTGAGGCCATCTTTAAATTAATGTTTGTTTGCCCTCTCACGACTCACGGTTAAAAAATTGGGCCAGTAGGTAGGTGGGAAAGTCTTTTTTCCTAGAAAATTTCAACAAACATATTAAAAGGATGAAAAAATCCAGGAATAAAAGATAAAAAAAATATTTTTTTTTAGAGATCGAAAAAAATTTTGAGCTGGGCAATTTTTAGGCAGTCAGTTGGGAGAGGACAAACAAACATTTTTTTTTTTAAAGATGGCCCGATACATATTGGTGAGAGCTATTCAACTGTGGCATAATTTTCTGACCTTGACTTTTTCTTTGACATTTACCTCAATTTTCCCTATTTTGCTCAGTTTCAAAGTAACTATTCAGGATATGTTTATAAAAGCACATACATGAATATATATTGGTGAGAACTTTACAACTTTTTCTGACTTGACCTTCCTGTGACCTTGACCTTACTATTACCTATTTTGTGTTTAGCTCAATTTCAAAACAATTATTACCAGTATTTTTTAATGAAAACTCTTACACTGATACATTTTAGTGGGAGCTTTTCATCCCTTGCATATTTTTCTGACCTTGATCTTTATTATGACCTTGACTTCATTATTCCCTTTTGTGCATTTAGCTCAGTTGTTTAACAATTATTGAAGATATTTTCATTAAAACTCTTACACTGATATGTATTACTGGGACCTATTCAAATATGTCTTAATTTTCTCACCTTGACTTTTCCTATGACCTTGACAATACAATGTTACACACTGGCCTTTCCAATGACCTTGACCTCATTATTCCTTCATTTTGCAGTTACCCCTGAAAATAATATAAAAATATTCCTACTTTCATCATATTTTAATACTATCTCTGACCAAGAAGGTTGGTTCATGGTGCATTTTTCTGTGTTCATCCAATGCTCATGGCACATATTTTTTCTTTGTCAATTTGATTTAGGGCTAATCCTGGCATATGTCACCAAAAACATTATGTGTCAATGAGTGGCAATATGTGCAAGGAACATCTAATTTATTGTTCCCAGCAACAATATACGCCATTATAGACACAACATGATGATTAAAAAGAAGAAAATGCAACAATTTTGGCTGTATCTCTAAAAAATGTTTTCATTTCAGAGTTTTCAAAAGAACCTGTAATTTCTGAACAAAAAACAATTAATTACAGTTTCAGTAACAATAAAAGTAGCATGCAAAAAGGTATGAAAATATGGCACAAAGGTATTAAACAAATTCCTTGTATCACAGAAAAGATAGAGTCAATCACAAGTCATTCCACATAGTACATGTATTGCATTTTATGTCAAGTAATTGTACAATTCAAAACAACTCCTCATTTTTCATTGAGTTTCAAAATGATAATTCTTCTCCTGAAAGAAATTGAAATAAAAACAATTAATATGTGTAGTTTACACATTTTTAATTTAAAATACATTTATATTTTAAAATAAAATATTAATATGAAGCATACTAATAGAGTTGGTATATCTGCTTATTGAATAAATCAATTATTTAACAGATATTTCTTTTAAAGCAAGCCTTTTAATATTTATGACTCTATAGAGAGAAGACCTACTTGAACCAAGTCTGTAAGCTTTCCTGAAATATTTCTTTGAAATAACACCATTTCTCCCCTCTGTTAGCACCACATCATTTTCAGAAATGTAAAATCTGATTCCATCTGCAAAAAAATAACAAGATATATGTAGCAATTATCTGCCATAATAAGTGCCCTCCCTATTATTTCTAATTAAAAACAGATATCACTGATTTGGTGACCATCTCAAAGGGTCCTGCTTTTAACAAAAGGCCAATGGGCCCATCTTTCACCTGAAGACTTTGGCTAGAAAAAAGCAGAAATCAGATCAGTATTGATGTGATCCCCCTACAACACCCCTTCCTGCTTCCATATCGTTATGGCTATTCATGACTTTGCTGCACTTGAGGAGATTTTTCCTACCCATATAAATTCTTATGTAAAACTTTGATCATCCATTGTGGCCCTGTCCTACCCCCAGAGGTCATGATTTGAACAAAAGAATTTACACTACATGAGGATGCTTTCAATTTATAAATATGACTAATCATGGCTTTGCTGTTCTTCAGGAGAAGATTTTTCCTACATTTTCCCATGTATAACTTTGATCCCCTGTTGTGGCCCCACCCTACCCCAGGATCATGATTCGAACAAACTTAAATTTACACTACCTGAGAATGCTTCTATATTAATATGATTTATCCCATCTTTGCTGATCAGGAGAAGAGGATTTTTAAAGATATTTCCTATATATTCCTGTCTATAACTTTGATCCCCCCCCACCTTGGGGTCATGATTTGAACAAACTTGAATCTACACTACTTGAGGATGCTTTCACATCTATATAACTAATTTTGGCTTTGCTGGTCATGAGAACATTTTAAAGATTTTTCCTATATATTCCTGTGTATAACTTAGATCTCCTGTTGTGGTCCTGCCCTATGCCTGGATGTCATGGTATGAACAAACTTGAATCTACACTATCAAATGTAGTTTTCACACAAGTTTCATTTTTTCTGGCCCAGTGGTTTGGGAGAGGAAGATTTTTTTTAAAAGATGCCATTAATTTTTCACTAATTCTAAATTATTTCCCCCTTGAAAGAAGGCATGGCCCTTCATTTGATCAAACTTGAATCCCCTTCACCCAAGTTTGGTTGATATTGGCCCAGTGGATCTGGAGATGAAGATGATATTGTGAAAAGTTTATGATGATGCTAACACTGATGACGACAACAACAACAGACAACTGACAAATTTTGATCAGAAAAGCTCACTTGAGTCTTTGGTGTAGGTGACCACTTATATTTTTAAACTTTTGTTGTACTAAACTGATATCTGCTTCTCTCTAATCAAAGTGCTCAAGTTAGCCATGTGATACATGGACCTCTTGTATTACATGTAAACTGTTCTTACCTATAGCACTAATGGCTTAAACCAATATGGAAAAAAAAGATTAACAACAATGGTTCATTATTGATTGAAAATTTCTCATGCTTTACCTCCCATGGCCTTTTCTACATCAATTTCAATGGCCATGTCACAGTTTGGTGGAAAGCCTGCAAATATAAAAGCACATGCATCAAATCAAAACAGCAAAGCAACCCTGCATTTTAAAGAATTTCTGTGCATATTGAAGGGCAGTAACAACTTATATGAATGATGGTCTCTGAAATTTAAATTACTTCATATTGTAAAAAGAGTCTCATGGGCCACAATGCTCACCTGAGTCACATATCTCTTCTTTAAAGACATACCTATATTACATGTAGGTAACTGAACCTATTGTTACCAAAATGTGGTCATTGTTTCAACAATATTTATCAACAATATAAATTGATTTCTTTTTTCATGAGGACATTTCTATGTACCTATTGTGGCCCCAACCTAGCCATTAAGGGCCATGTCTTGAACAAATTTTAATAAACATTGTATATGGAAGTTTTCTTCTTAATTTTTTCTCTCCTTTTTTTACCCTGAGGTTTTTGAAATTGAAAAAAGTTATATAACCATATCTACTTTTCATGAAGTATTGCCATGAAAGGAGACATGACCTTTTACATATTTGAACAAACTTGAATCTAAGAATTCTCTTTGCAAGTTTAGTGGAAACCATGCACTGATGAGAAATGAAACTGAGAAAAAGTAAAAGACAGCAGACAGAGGTACACATCATTCCCTTACTCACCACTTTTGACTCCTCTATCTCCTTGTGCAAAATGAATATGAGTTCTCTTCATTTTGGATATTCCCTACAAGTTAAAGCAAGGATGAAAGTTTTAAGACTGTACATTCTTTTGAAAATTCTTTTTAATTAGTCTTTATCTTGTATAGTTCAAAGGTCAGGGTTTACAGCTTTCTTGAAAAAATCCAACAGCATCTAGTTCTGATCAAATACACTTAAAGTAGTGATTTAAGGCCAGTACACACGGTAGAATATGTGTTACCATGCAGGCATGTTAAAAGTTAGTATTATTATACTTTTGTACTATAATACTTTCCTGTACACACACTTGTCATTTCCCAACTAAAATATGGTAATTCAATTAAAGAAAATATCTATGTTATTTTTCTTCTTATGCAAAAAAATCTTTTTCAGGAAATTTTACATCAAAAAACCCAATGACTCATATCAGTAGTTGACCTTAGAGTAACCTGGACTACACCTTACATTTTACGTATAACTATTTCCTGTAAAAGTTAGTTTGATCATATTTAATCACATATAATACACTAATCGTGATACTAGCCCACAGTGCATCCATTATTCTAAATCGGAAACCAACACGTTACGTCATTTTATTAAAATCTCAAAATATAGTAAATGAACTAAAGTATGTATGTATAAATACTTGCACATTTATATGTGTACATGCATACACTCATGTACATTAACTTATATATTGTTGTATATATATTTTTAAACTATTTTAAATCCTAACATTTGTTTTGCTAGATGTGTATAATCACTGATAGTTACATGTACATTTATTAGTGGTTCCTCTTTGATAAGCCTTATACAAGTAAAAAAAATGTATATCATTGAGGCATGTGGCTATATTGGGGCATTTACTGGGCAATGCCTATGGCAGCCTTCAATAGAATATTGTGTCACCATCATCATTTGCTTGCTCCAATTATTGTGTCATATGACATGTAGTAGGAGGGGTCTGAATTGCAGAAATAAATAAATATGGAAAATATCTGCCCTCAGTTATTTCCACATGCTCCAAGTGTGAATGAGTTAACACACCATAGACTCAAAAAAGAAGACTGCATAGTATCCTTTAAATTATAATAAGTATGCAGAAAACCTTTGCATATCCCTTTTTTGTCAATTTAATTACAGGTACATTGATATTCTTAACATTGGCCTGATACTTTTACATGTTTAATGCGTATATGAATTTGACAATTAACCTTTGTATACTTCTGAAACCTTGAGAACTTTCATGCTTTCATAAATATCACATTTTGTACAATGCAATGATACATGCATTGTAATACAAATATTTTTTTGTTTTGTTTTGTTTTGAAATTTCAGAGAAAATCTTTCAACATATTTAATTAATTCTTCATTATTTTTTGGACACCAGCTACATGTACTACATGTGTGTGTTTGTACATCCTGCAACACCCCAAATTGTACTACATGTATATACCGGATATATATATATATATATATATATATATATATATATATATATATATATATATATATATATATATATATATATATATATATATATATATATGTGTGTGTGTGTGTGAGGGGGTGTGTGTGTGTGTGTGTGTGTGTGAACTTGGCAAAAACACAAATATAGATTTGGCTGAATTTGTGCATGATTCTCTTTCAACACTGTCAAAATTGTATTTTTATGAATAAATAGCATAATCATTACATAAAGGAAGCTAAATGTTTACATATAAACAACAGGGAAGTCGTGTGTGTATAGGATAGATACGACAACTTCTAAAAACTTCCTGTCTTATTCACATATCAAAATATTTCATATAAGGGCAATTCAGTTCAGATTATTGTGTGATAAAGAAGAATATGTCTGTGTTTTCCATACAAGACACAAACCAAGAAGATTGATATCAAAGAAGAGACAGAAATCCAACCTTCAGTATTTATGTAAGCAAGTGAAGATTTGCCGTTTACATGCAATGTGTGCATTTGTAGTGCAGTAGAAAAAATAACAGTGAAGGGACATCTTAAATATCAACTGCTGTGTGATTTCATACAATGGCACATCCAACATAAACAAATTAAGTGACAACAGAAAAGAGATAGACAACATAGCTTAGTATGGAGCTTAAGAGGACCCTTCATCCAATCAGGGAATTCAGGAGGTCTATCTCGAAATCATGTCAAGATCTCTCTCATACCTTTACTACTGTCATCACCAAACCAGTCGTAAGTATCTCAAAGGAGATCCATCTCAAGATCATTTATTGATTTCTCTCACTCCTTTACTACTGTCATCATCATGAGTATCTCAAAGGAGATCTATCTCAAGATTGTGTATAGATCTCTCTCACATCTTTACTGTCATCATCAAATCAGTCTTAATTATCTCACAGGATATCTATCTCAAGATTGTGTATAGATCTCTTTCACTTTACTACATACTGCTATCGCCAAACCAATCATTAGTACCTCACTTAATTGAGATCTATCTCAAGATTGTGTATAGATCTCTTTCACTTTACTACTGCCATCACCAAACCAATCGTAAGTATCTCACTTAATTGAGATCTATCTCAAGATTGTGAATAGATCTCTCTCACACTTCTACTACTGTTATCACCAGACCAGTTGTAAGTACTAGCTGCTCTAGTCTCACAGTGTACTTATTTTCCAGTTTAATTTAAATGATCCTCACTTAATATGGATATAGAAATCTAAAGGTCACTTCCTTCTTAAAACATCACCATTTTGTTTATCAACATCCTCCTTTGGTTACACATCCTGATTGCACAGATATAAAAAAAAATTAACATCAGGGGCTCAGTAAACATATCATGAAAGCAGAATCCATCAAGGTATTATGTCTTTATTTAATTTTTTTTAATATGACTAATGTAATAGTCAGTTATGACTAATGTAATAGTCAGTTATGACTAATGTAATAGTCAGTCAGATTCCAGAATGTTCTTGTGTCACCTCTTATTGTTAATGCTGTGTCAAAGAAAACAATTAATTTACAAATCAAGAGATTATAGTTTAAAACCAAAGAAAGTTTCTGAACATAGTTTTAATAGCATACACATAAACATTTTGAATAAGTTACTGTAAAGATAAAATGCTGAAAGTTATTTTACACTATTTTTAGTAGATTACTTTAATAAAAATGCATTTAATTTCTATAATTCAATTTACATTAAATTTAGTTTTTGTGTTTATCTCTCAATCATGATGCATTCATTCCCTCTTATACATGTATGTAAATTTGCACTGTAATCAGGTAGTATAAATACTATAGCTATATTAAATGGTATATTTTGAACAGTGTATATTAATCATTTCAACACATTAAATGTATCGAAACTCATTTTCTTCCTAAAAAGTGCAATAAAGGTATTGTACCTGTGATTTGATGGATTCCCAGTTTCTGCTACGAGTGCCATGTAAGGCACAGCGTACCTGTGTGTGATGGGTGACAAGTGTAAGTTCAGGCTTAGGTATCTGAAAATAATTTTTGTAAACAGTTATTTTTTGGAAAAAAATTGAAAATAGAAAGACCTAAACAAATTTAAGACCTCTATTTTGTGGTGGTTATCTTAAATAAGAAACAAATGGAAATAAGGTACATGTATTAATATACTAATAAAATATTCTACTTTATACTGGTGCAAAAAGTTTCTTAATACCCGGTACACATGTATGAATTGATACTATCATAACAAATCATCAGGAATATGTCCACTGTCACAGCACAAAATATTATATGTCTTCAAAACCATTCAGATGCCAGTCCTAGCTTAGCCCCAAATACTTGATATTGCAATTAATTAATTAACAGAACTTTTTTCTGTGGAGGTAGGAGATGTTTATTAGCTGGGGATGATTTGCTGTTGAATACAACATGAGATTGCATTATTGTGGATTTTATAAGGACAGATAAAAAAGAAGTCCTAGTGAAATATCTTGCTGAACATTTGCTTGAACCTTACTAATAAAACCTGAGAGGCCATCTAGTCCTTATTTATTACATTTTTAAATGATAATTTTCACTTAGCCAACTCTTCTAATTAAATTCAACCAGTTTTTTCTTATAGTCATTACATTTGGAAGCTAATAAAATACTCTAATTAGACAACCTACTACTCAGAGTTCAACCCTCAGCAACACATTATACTTTCGGCATACTGAGTGTTCTAAGTGTTGAATTGTCACTATTGTAAACAATTTTATGCCCCAAAAATCTTGCAAGATTTAGAACTTCCTCAAAAGAGTGGCCATAAGTTAGATAACCATGAGGTAATCACGACGCTAAGCATTTATGTTCCTACTGTTTCTGCATTATAACAAGCAAGTCTGGCATACTGTTCAAAACTTTTCAATCTGTAAATCTTTGTTACTGATATTTAGTTATTTTCAAGTTTTGTAACTTTGTTTGTATTCTCCAGAATGCCAGAGCAGATCCGCTCCATTTTGCTACACTAGCTGCCACTATATGCATTGTATATTCCTACTGGGGCTGCCTGTCCCAATATACAGTTAGATAAATTTAACTGAAAATTCCCTGCAAAATTTGCATTCTAATTTGAGCACAAGAGTCCAATCCTCATTTTAACTTCAGAAGCTAAAATAAAATCTATATATATATAGTTATTACCTTAAATGAATGTCCTTGTGTGGCCTTTATTTGTAGAAATGGATTGTCTCTCAGACTAAATCTACCTTTGCTGTCATTCCTAACAATCCTTCTGACATCTTCCTCTGTCCTGCCTCTGGCCTCAGACAGTTCCAAGATATCCTCCACATCAACATAGCCATCTAGAGAGAGAGAACAGTACAAAAACGAAAACATGATCGAGAAAAACATCAGTAAAGCAATGGCACTCTCCGTATTGAATAATTATGGTTATGAATATACCCTAAAAGTAACATAACTATAAAGTATTGAATTCGGTATATATTATATATCCCATCACTGCTTGTAAATAGATGAGAGAGTGGTTGAATTAACAGCTTAACCAGTTAACGTACCTTCAGATACCTGTAGCCCTCTGTCTATGGCTTCATGGCGTAATATTTTGGCTAAAAAGTGTGAAAGTTGTGTATCTCCCATTTTGAGACAACTATGACATGTACAAGTCTATCATTTTGTGAAAAGTTTTTTTCTTTGCAGAAAACATTTCGAAAGTGAAAGTACATATTATAATATGCATTAAATTGTGCCACCATGAAATCACGAATATTAAAATTTCTTTTTATTTGGAAATCATACTACCTTATTGAAACAAAAAGTATAATACTGAGCAGAGACATACATAAAATCAAATAATAAAATTCATTGTATAACATTACATGCCTCTGCATACTTCGTAACTCTTTTGCGTTTGGAGGGAAATTTAAATACTGAAATGACGTCACTTAGTACAGAATGCCTTGCATCTGCATCAGAAGCACCAGAATTTAGAAGGAAGTCTTCAAGGGTATGGCCACACTTTTGGGGGAAACCCCTTTATATTTCAGTTCAGAAGCATCAATATTGTTAATTTAATATACGGTATTTATATATACAGCATTTAACAGGTTAATGTTAAACGATACTCGCTCTGTAAGGAAGTATCGTCAGGATATTCAATTTTATTTAAGTCCTCTGTTTTGCGTTTAGACTGTTGGGATATATTTTTTTTTATTTAAACACTATTATTAAAACAGTATTATTGATTTTCATGTAGTGACATATATATATACATGTATAATGATAGAGTTGTCTCTCTTTCCTCGATCAGACCGTAAAAGCTGATAAAAGTCGCTCATCGCTCTACCTCTAACTAGTTAAAGAATATTTTTAAGTAAATCGAAGTCTTCATAGAAGGCCTTTATAACGGATACATGCACATTTTCCCGATTTGTTCCATCCAGTATAACCAATTTGTAAATCCTGACTCAAATCGTTCACCCTAGCTAGGCCTAGGCCAAATTCGAATACATCTTTGTTTCCTTAACAGGGTTTCAAAAATTGGGGTGGTTAGTTGGTAGCAGAAACAAAAGTAACTTTTAAATGTTATTTATGTCTCTGTTGGTAGTCTTTGTGAGTTTAATTAAGAAATCACTTCCCTGATTCAACAAATTTAGTTTCAAGAAACAACAGCTAAAAAGAAAGAAAAAAAATCTCAAGGGGTAATTAAAATGAGTCAGTTACAGAGAACTAGCATGATTATATTTCCTTCAAAGAAAGGTTAGAGGTTAACTGAAATCACCATGCATGTTTGTCTGTCTGTTTGACTTGATTACTGTTTGCATTGTAATGGAGAAACAAATAACATACTTGCCATGAAAAACTTCCTTATAAATGACAAGAGGGATGTATCATTATCCTAATCAAGTTCATTTGGAAAATCTCAAGGTCATGAAAAATAAAGTTGTTGTGCAGGCTTTTAGTTCACCTCAACGAAGTTGGGGGGAACTTACGTAATAACCTCAGAGTCAGCGTCCCATGTAAAAGATTTCAGAGCAGATTTCTTATAGTACTTCTAGGCCATATATTAATCAGAGATCAGGGCTCGAAATAATTGATGGCCCGCTGGTTTGGGGCCAGTGAATTTTCAATCTGGGCTAGTACATTGCAGAAGGCATGTGCCATTTGGGTCAGCATTTTTTTATGCATAATAAAATTCATTCACAGTTGGGCTAGTTAATTTGACAGGGTTGTGTGTCTTGTTTTGTTAAATTGTACCTCTAAGTATCACAATATAAAAAAATATAACTATTATTATTATGGTTTTGGGCCAGTCTTTTTAAAATCTACTGGACCAGTGAAAGTACTAAGCTGACCAGTAAAAATTTAAGGCGATAGCCCGAGTGACCAGTACCGGTAAACAAAAATAATTATTTCTAGCCCTGGAGATGCATGGAAGATGCTTCTAGTATGTTTCATTGTACCAGTCAAGGTTTCAGATGCTGTAATTTCAGCTAAAGAATGACCGGGTTAATGTTTTTGGAGCAGGTTAAAGTTTTTGGAGCAGGTCTCATTTCCAAGTGACTATTAGCCTTATATTGACCGAACTTGCATGGATGATACATCTATTGAAGAATGCACACTACCAGGCTTGCTTTAAATGCTGGATCTGACCTACATTTTCCGGATAAGTGACCAGGTTAAAATTTTTGGAGCAGGTCTTATTTCCAAGGGACTATAAGCCCTATGTTGTCTTGACCAACATTTACATGGGTAATACTTCTAAGGATGCACACTACTGGACTTGCTTCAGATGCTGGATCTGACCTACATTTTCTGAATGAGTGAACAGTTTAAAGTTTTTGGAGCAGGTTCATTCTAAAGTAACTATTTGCCCTGCCTGGACCGAACTTGTATGGATGATACATCTAAGGATGCACACTACCAGGGTTTCTTCAGATGCTGAATTTGACCTACATTTTTCAGATGAGCAACCAGGTTAAAGTTTTTGAAGCAGTTTCTAAAGTGACTATAAGCCCTATGCTAACCAACTTTGCACTGAAGATACATTTATTGATACACACTACAAGGACTGCTTTGGATGCGGGTTTTGACCTACATTTTCCAGATGTGTTAACAGGTTAAAGTTTTTGGAGCAGGTCCATGACCAAGAAACTATAAGGCCTACCTGAACCAAACTTGCATGGATGATGCATCAAGGGATGCACACTACTAAGGTTGCTTTAGATGCTGGATTTGACTTACATTTTCCAGATGAGTGACCAGGTTAAAGTTTTTGGAGCAGGTCCATTACCAGGAAACTATAAGGCCTATCTAAACCAAACTTGCATGGATGATGCATGAAGGGATGAACACTCTCAAACTTGCTTCAGATGCTGGATTTGACTTTGAGTTTTTGAATGAGTGATTAGTTTAAAGTTTTAAGATAAGTCCATTCCCAGGTAACTGCAATCCCTATCAGACCAAAATTGCATAAATGTTGCATCTAAGGTTGCACACTACTAGATTATTAGTTTTGTGTTGGACTTTGCCTTAATTAAAGACAATATTCATTGAGGTGAGCTCTGTAATCTCTGATTTATACCTATGTTTATTCAAACATTTATAGGTTAACTTAATCCCCTATAAATCACTATGGGTTTATTTCTTTTTATAGTTAATATGCCTTATTATGGATTAAGTTAACCTACAGAACTTCATCTCATTAACTTTCTGTTACATGATACAAATGTGTATTCATAAATGACAGTAAATTCTCTTTGGCAAAGTGCAATGTAAAGTGGATGCAGTTTTAAGTTGTTTTTTTTACACAAGAGTGCATGTTGAAGAAATCAACAAAGTAATGAAAAGAAGATTAGGAAACAATATAAACACATAATTTAAAAAAAAAACCAAAAAAAAAAAAAAAAAAACAGAATAAAAGGAAAATATGGTTGGATCAGGCATTGTAGCATCTTGCTTAAATGAGTTTTCTTTATCTTGTTATTATTTTCTTTGGGATTTGGCAAAAAACCACCTCCCAAAGCAAAGATTATGATCTCTACATCACATACTGAGTCTGTTAGATATAAAGGAAATTTATAACCCACACTCATACAGAAGCTCAAACAGATTTGAAACAGTTATTTTTAGATTACAAATAACTGTTTAGATGGTTGTTTAATTAAAAGTCTACTTGGATACTTACTTAGAATAAATAGATTTAGATTTCAAATTATAGAGGGATTGCAAAAAAAAAAATGCCTAGCATCCCAATGTATATATTGATTGGTTAATTTATGTTTTCAAGTCGTATTTACTATATAATTTTGAAATACTTTTTTCCCTTCACACTTATTGTTTTTGCTTTTCAGTCTACATTACTCTTGGTTTACACTTTGTTTTGTGATATCTTTTGTGTAAATATCCACTGTTCCTTTATTAATGACCCTGTTACCTCCATATATACATTACCTCATAGTACAGGTGATCCCCCCTTGTTAGGCCCCTTGTGCCTTCCCTGTCAATCACATATCAGTTGCGGATGAGATCTCAGTGATAAATTGAATAAAGCAGATGTTTTTTTTGTGGGAGGGAGGTATTCTCACCTGACCAGACAGTTCTGTGACCTCAGATGACACCAGGGATTGTCATGGATATATTACTAAAAGATAATTAATTTTTGTAAGGATTTAGCTGAAACTTATCAAAATGAAAGCAGTAAGTTATTTCATTTTTCTTTTTAATACATGTATTAAGTAGAAACTGTTAGCAAAAAGGTTAGATTTTAAAGTTATTATATGCATGTATAAGTAATGGATGTCAATTAAGTTTTAATTGTTATTTGAAATTTTTTCTAATTAATCAACAGTGTTAAATACATACTTAAGTTATCAAAGTATGTACTTATATATTTTCATTACTTTAATTATTTGATGTTAAATATCATCAGTATATATAATCTTAAAAAGCCTCTGTCTGACATTGACCCTACAATGACACACTGAACCATTGAGTGAATAATTCACTGCTTTAATGAGATGTTATTTAGTCTTAATAAAAGCCTTTTCTATGGGATGAAGATATTCTTACTGTCTCTTAGATATAATCAATATCTATAATGGAATAAACCATGATAACTGTCAGACTCTTGGTGCTTATTGAGTCGCACAAGTTCAGCAGTCTGATGTTAGATTTAGAAAAAAAGAAGTACATAATTCATGAACTGAATTTCTAGGTCACAAGAATCATGAAGTATCATTTTGATGCAGTACCCAGTTTTGTAGGGTTAGTTTTCTGTGAATATTTATATCTTAGGATGCTTTGATTTGTATATTATACAGTCAAACATAAATGTCAAGGTCACAAATAGCAGATGGTCACTTATATGAAATGCAAGTTAGATTTCTATAAGATTACGAAACAAAGAGAAACTGGAGACCAACACCTTGAGGTTAAAATTGCGGAAGATTCTCATGTGTGGATACTGAAAGGTATTCAATAGGATCTGTACTTAAAGTTGTAAACTTGAAGATATAAAACAGATCTGTTTTATACATGTATCTTCAAATTCTATAAGATTACCGGGGTAAAAGAAATGTTACTTAGAATAGATTTTTACTTTGGGCTGATTACAGGGGGATAGTAATACAATCTAATTAAAATTAGATGTTCCGAATCCACTACCGCTTCTCAAACATCTAACAACATCCC